ACGGACCCCTTTATTAACAAAGTTACCGCGGGCGCCGAGGGGCGGCGGCAACGGGGCGGAGATTCTGGCGAGAATATCGTCCTCAAAGAGAAACAATAATTGTGCGCGACACTCCGGCGAGAATTGATATTAATAAACGCACCTGAACGAACCCCCAACCCTACTAACGATCTCTCTCCCCCCCCCCCTATCATCCCGTTAAATTATTAATAACGAGTTAAAAGTGACGACGTACCTTGTTTGCGACAGTTTACGACGCCCAGGCCGAAAGGGTTAAGGAGTATCATCCGTCTTGGAAAGGGTTAGGAATACGAACAGAACACGTGAGTCGTGTAATGAGTTTCCATCGGCATTGTCGGCATTCGGGTGTTCTGCCGATTGAGTTTGTGCAGTCGTCCTTGGGTGTTTCATCATAATGCCGGCAAGCCGGTTTCGGTTTCCCAAAGAGAGATTATTAGCGTTTTTGAACTTTGATCGAAACTTTACGACAATCGGACTTGCACACCCGTGTATATTATTAATGCGAATATATTAATATTATAACGTTATTTCGCCGTGATGTAGCACATTATGGCTGTCGGGTATATACATATATATATATATATATGTATGTATAACTATTGCCAAAAAGCGAACAATCATCCGAGTACACCTACACGATAAATACAAAGCAGCAATTCCTGTCTGTATTATATTATACAGCCGGAACAGAGACGATTTTGACAATAGCTGTAACTCGAAGTCACTGCGAATGTGTCGCGGTTGTAATGAATAAATTATAATCCGCATACTCTATATATATATATATATATATATGTGTGTGTGTGTGTGTGCGTGTAATACAATATTATCAGGTATGTCACATGGTCGTTTACAAGACTTGTTACAAATCATTCAGTCGAACGCATCACTTGTGTTTATTTGCATTTTGAAACGACAATCCTTGAAACGCACATTTCCTCGAAGAAAATGGGATTAAAATATTGCGATTTTATTAAAAAACAATGATTTTATCGTTTCGTTTCAAAACGTACTATATTTTTCGATATTTTCAAAAAAAAAAAATAATAGTGCGTTGAACACTAATAAATATTATGCGAAACGTCCGTTTTCAAAAAGGTTGAGCATTATTCGAATTATACTTGCTTATCTATAGAAAGCGATAAATTCAAAGTTATTTTTTAATTATTCATTTACTATTCGATTGCTTTTGATAATGAATAAACAAATTACTTTTCAGTAAGATCAAAGACCGTCCATTGTGTGAAGTTAAGGAACGAGTATCCTTACTTATTTACCCGTTTACTCGATTTATACATTCGACTTACACGTTTACTCGTTTAATCAGTTTATTTACTCGTTTACTCGACTCATTTACTCGTTTATTCGGATTTTATTTTCTTAATTTAAAAAAAAAATCATTTAAGTATGGTAATTAAAACGAAAAAAAAAATGTTTGTTGCTAACTTTAAGAGCTTGTTGTGAATAGGAAATTAAACAAAATGATTACCTTTAACATAAGATAATATTATACAGGTAGATCCGATTTAATACTCATGCGGTATAATGATTTTAATTGGAAACAATCTGTGTTACATCTTATAAAAGCTTAATTTTCAACATTCTATTAAACTATAATATAATATAGCAAGTTGATTGATAGCAGCTCGTTAGCAAAGAGCTTGTCAAGAAAATTAAAAATATGAATTTAAAAAAATTAAAAAAATAATTATTTCAGTTTTTACAATTAAAAGAATTATCAATTTTAGCTAAATTATTCTTTAGCCACGCATATCTCTGAAACCGATGAATAGATTTTGTTTTTTAGAGTCTTATTAAAATCACATTTGTACGTAGAAGTGCAATGAAGAGTTTCAGAACTTTACTGACGTAGTTCATAACATAAACAAATTCCCTCCTCTCCTAAATTTCCATACATTTTAAAACAATAGCTAATTAGTATAAAATATATTTTAAATAATTCTCCAAAAATTAAAAATCAAGAAAGTCTATATTATACATGAAACTTAAATCTATATTTGAATCGGTCATTTCAAAAACGACATAAGTCACGGATTTTTCAAAAATGACTTTTTGTCAAATTTGATAATTATATACATAGTTACGTATTCTGAACAAAAATTTCATTTTTCAGATTCGTGACATTGTCAGAAATATTTATTTTATTTTAAAAATGTTACCAGTTTGTGCAATAATTTAATAGCATTTCTGTGTTTATTTATTTTATTTTATTTCTTGACCTAATTTCTATATAATACATTTCAGTCAAGTATGTCTTATCTCAATTTAATAAATTACGGTCAAAGTTAGACTATTTAAAACTATGGGTTATGAATATCAGAAACCCTATAAATAAATTAGTAAATAGGTGTAAATGCAAAATAAGTTGAATTTCTGGAGTTATGAAGTTTTTTGTGGCTAGTGTATAATTTCAATTTTGTGACTTGTGCCGTTTTTGAAATTACCGATTCAATTGAATTATGACTTTTTTTTATCAAATGTGTAGATAAAAAAAAAACACAATAAACAAAATCATATATCTTTTTTTTTTTTTTTGGTACAATTACCTATTTAAAGGTTAATAGAAAACTATAAAAAAACATAGTACCATTTTTAATACATAATAATATATATTATTATGATAAAGTCTTTAGGCTTAAAAAATAAATCACCAGATTATGTTTTTCTTTTGGATTTGAGGAAACTTAACTCATTAACTATAGCTTCATAGTCTAGAATAGATTATAGTTTCATGATAATAATAAGTAACGACAATAAATAACCATCGCAATTAGGCTTATTTATAATAATAAGAAAAAGTTATAGTTTGTTACATAAATATTTGTATACCTATACCTATATATAAAAATGAATTCCTGTCTGTTTGTCTGTCCTTTATGCATTAGTACACCATTCATCCGATCGCCATGAAACTTTGGGAAGTTGTTGAGTACACTCCTGCAAACCTAACTGGCATAGTACTTTTCGAAAATTCCACCCCTAAGGGTGGCCTCAAGCACTTGTACTTTGTACTTTAAATACGAAATATTATGTTTGTAACCATGGTAACCCAAAATAAACACTTAGTTTGTAACCATGGTAACCACGGTACTCGAGCATATTGTAGGTGATGATTAAAGGAACAGGCTGATTCTATGTACCACGATTCTGGGCAAGCTTTTAACTGTTGGAACGTGATCTGGGACTGGGGACTGGGATCCTTGAGTAAGAGGAGGACATAATAACAGAAAAAAGTGTCACATAAACGCTGTCACGCTGTTATCTGATAAGAGATTAGAGATGAGGGATGGGGGTGGAGATAGGTATGAAGGTGGGGTTGAGGGTGGGAATGGGAATTATTTTACTCAGCCCTGGCAGACTAAATCTCGGGCAACGCCGGGTCCGGACAGTTTGTATATCTTTATATATATATTTCTTCTGTCCGTGTATAAGTATGGAAACTCCTCCTAAACGGCTGGGCAGATTTTTTTATGAAATTTTGTGTGCGTGATTAAGTTGATTCGAGAAAGGTTTGATTCACAATTTGATCCGATAGAACATGTTTTTAATTTTTAATTAATAATGATTTTCAATAGTATCAATAGTTATCAATACATCTCTATGGTTTTTCATACCACAAGGATACAGTGATCCGATCAGCTGATTGTGTGTCTAATACACAAATACACGGGCAACGCCGGGTCGGGGCAGCTTGTATATATATACATTAAAAAAATATATAAATACACATTATATATGTAGATATATATTTTTAAATATTTCACAAAAAAAATGTCTATTCCTACTTGCTGCAAAGAAGAAGTAATATGGAAATGAGCGCCTAAACTAACGCGAAAATGTGTGGTCTTGATATTATGTACTCCCCGCAGTATTTCCATTACTATCAAAACCGCTTGAAAGTTTAATGTTAAATAGACTAAAACCATATCTAAGCGAGATCCTTCAGTTAAAATTGGGTAGGTATTAAGAATTACCACTCCACATGTGAACATCTGCTACAGGCTACAATAGCCGCGTTCGTTGATGTAACTCAACCGTTTGATAAGGTCTGGTTATGACGGAATACGGATTAGTACACAAATTAAAATCATTAGCTAAATACTTATTTTTTTCGCCAAATAAATCGCCTCGATAAATCATACATGATCTATTTATATATAATTTATACAACATCTATTATCTTAGTTAATTTCAAATTTATTTAAAATACATTTTCATAAATAATAAATTAAATTAAATTAAATAACTTAAAATTGTAGTTATTATTTATACCAAATAGTATTAAAGTCAATTCTTTAGTTAAAAAAATTTAAAGAAACGTAACTTATCGAATAAATCAGTAAACCAGTAAAAAATTAAGTAAACAAATCAAGTATATTATAAAATAGTATAAGCTATAATAGCAGTTTTTTTTTTAGTATGTATTTAAAAAAAACGTGGAATGAAATTTGAAATGTAGTATGCAATTTTATGGGTCGGCTGTAAAGGTAGAAATCGAACATTATATTTTTGGGATGATGCCCGTTAAAAAAAAAAATAGTATTATTACTCATCAAAGTGGTTCCTAGTAGTAGTTACAATTTGTAGGAGGGTATTTTATTTATTTTTTTTTTATGTGAAAGAACAGCGCATAAGTATCTGGCCTCATGATTCAAAATGTCTGAACCTGTATAATATTATTGATTTTAGTTACTCGTTTACGTTTTAAAGGATATGTATAATCACTGCCCTCGTATATGTTGCTTTTTGATGGTATTAATTGTATTATTATTATTATTGTCCACGATATTACATTATAAGGAGCGCAAGACACGTGGGAAGGGCGATGTGTCCAATAGGATTGGCCATCACGGCAACGCATCCGCCCTCCGGGCTAATCCTTCCCTGAGTCAAAGGCGTTACGGAAGGGTGGTCGGGGGTTGATTTTCGCGGTCCCTTCAGTCACCCGACAAGCCATGTGTCATTCAGTCGTCGCGAACACAACACAAGGCCAACACACAGTCGGAGAAAATATATTTTGAGACGTTTTTCGTTCAAGTCTCTTGGGCAGTTTACTGTTGGACCATGGATACAACAAAGTCGACGAGAAACGTGTACAGTATAGATCAAATACTGGCCACGAATCATTCCACGAAAAAAACCGGTAAGTCCAATTTTTGTAAATTCAATCGGTGTTGTCCACGCGTAGGGCAAACTTTATGATTATAAAAAATTACCAAAAAAAAAATGTATCCACATTCAATTAATCAGTCATCGAAGGAGAAATAAATATAGTTGAATCACAATAAATGTGATAAAGAATCGAAATGGTTTTTTAAATAGTAAAAAAAAAAACAGTTCATACTTCAACCGCTAGGAAGAGTAAAACAAAAATAAGTAAAGTACAATTGTAATTAAAAAACTTAAATTTCTCTCCTGTAAAATTATCACTCTGTGTATACATTTTAGAATTAAGCCATTGGTGTACACATAATATATATAAACATTTATAGTCATATTAACTAAATAAATAGTTAGGCCAACTAAATGTATAGTTGATTCAACTTTGCATTTGTACTTCATGCATTTTTCACTCTTTTGAATGGTTGAAATATGGATTTTTTTTACCACTTAAAAAATACATTGCAATTCATTATCACATATAACTGTCGACTCTTTTTGACCAAACATTTATTTACAACATTTTTTTATTGAAACCTTCAATGTACAAGACTATTTATTGGACCTTTTAATATTTGAGTTTAACTAATTTACTTAAGAATAATCGGATATTATCTAAAAAACGATATTAGTAAGAGTTACCGTTAGTTAAAAATAAAATAATTTGCTATCATACCATATACTATAACCTGATTATTGTGAACCTATATTATTAATTCCAGAACGTTTAGTGTTAGCCGACTGATCTGTGAGCTAGACAAAGAGCTCAGGAAGGTTTTCCTCCTCCTCCTATCTACTAATAATACCAAATTAAATATTATTATTATTACTTAAAAAAACAATATTATTAACGACAAATATATTATTTGAATTGAGTATAATTTGGCCATCGTGTTGTTGGTACTTAAAGTACTTAGAAATAAATACAGGCACGAATATCAAATCGGTTATTATTATTACTTATTTTGTATTATGACCCTTTTGTTTAATAAGAAATAACACAAACTTAAAGTAATATTAACTTGTTTCTTTATTGTCTCAAAGCGAGTAAGCTACAAAATACTTGAAATATAATTGAAGGGTTATTGTATAGTACATTATATAAGTAGATTAGGTGTAATTTACTGCTTGAAACCATTATAAAACAAAGAAGGAGATTATTATTATCATTGTAATAAAACTAAAAATTAAACTGCATCAAAACCCGGACAGGACGTTATTGTAAAATTTCAATAATGTATGCTAAGTACCTACACTTAATTATAATCATATAATATATCATCGAGGTAAATAGAGATGGAGTGAATACTGGATATTGTTATACAATAGTTTATCACGAACCAATTGTTATTGTTTATAGCATAATTATCTTACAATAGTGGAACTAAAGTATTTGCCCGCCAAAATATAAAATCACTTTCTAATAAACGCTTCGGCGCGATTTTGAAGATGGTTTCAGTATTAAATATCGATGAATATCATTGTAAAAATGTGTTTAAAGTTACATTTTTTGGTATAAGGGTGAATACGATTAGGTTTGATAATCTGACTTCCCTAATAATTCGTTGCCATCGCCAATAGCCAAAATCGAGAACATATTGACAATAATTGATCCAATCATACGTATCAATCTAGAAATTTACTACTGTCAAATAACCTAACCTAACCTAACCTGGCCTTTCTTGTTTTTTGGTTTTTCTTTAATAAAAAAATAATTTGGGTACAGACTTTTGAGAACATTTTATATTTTATAGCTCCACTATGGATTTACACTATATTTAGTCAAATTAGCAGACCTTAAGTTATAAAGTTCTCTGGGTAAAGCAAATTATAACGTTATTCGTAGTTTACGTTCATGAACATAATTTTGAACTGAACAAATAAATAACGGTTAACGGAACCCTGGTACTATGTCTAGATAATGTTGCATACAATTTTGAATGTTCTTAAAAAAGTCATAGCACTCAAAATTTCTGGGTGCTATTTTCGATTACGAAGTGGAAGGGTTGGACTTTTTACACTTTTGTCCCAATAGGGTACCTTGGTTTAGCGGTTTGGAAAAGATCGTGGGTTCAGATACACAAAAAAAGTTAAATAATTGTAAAAACAAATTTTCAGCTCCGCGCCGAAGTTAAATATAGTAAAATTACATAATATTTTATAATTGAAATTTGTTGAAATTTCCCTCAACCGAGAGCTGTTAATCGGATTGCGTTTGTTTTTTGACATTATCGTTTTTGGGGAATCAAACAATACTGGCTCGGGGGTTTATGCCCGGAAGGGATGTGTATAAATAAATACACATATTACATTTAATGTTTGGCCGTCAAGTGGTACACACACCGGTTCCTACAACGGCTGATTGGTGTACAAAACGGATGCGTTGTAGTTTTTTTTTTTTTTTTACTATATCTGTTGCACACTCCGGGCAACCGTACTCACATTATGAATGTTAAAAACGACAACCGTCTAGATTTCGCGTGTGTTGTACGCGATTTGCAAAACCGAACATCCGTAAGCCGATTATAATATACATATTATCATTATTATTATTATTATTATCATACATTATTCTACACACACGGGGAACGGCATTATATTATATAATCAACGCTCAATAACAAAAACCGTGTAAGCCGCTTAGCGCCCGTTGCAAAGCTCGCGTGCCCGGGACTTATATTCGTAATTAGGTTCGCACACACACACACACACACATGATGACTACTTAAAATCGTTTATACCTACGCTATAATATAGGGGCGGTCGGAGTCGGGGTTGGGGTTTGGGCGGTCTTAATTTTTAGTAATACATGCGCACGCCTCCCCTCCCCTCGTTCTATCCCACCCCCGACCCTTTAACCCTACTCATAACCGCCCCGTGTGCTGAGGTTTGCTACTAAATAATTATAACGATTTCCGAGTGAGGCGAAATTACCGGCAATCAGTGTCCGCGCCGAGACACCTGGCTCCTGCTTGTCGTTCAGACTGCAGCCAGGATACAAGGCGTCGAGGGGTATAAGATTATCTAATGGGTGTAATGTCGCACTCAGAAAGAGTTCGTTGAAAGTTAAATTATTTGTAACAAAACCGTGAGCGAGCAAGTGTTTCAATCCAGTTTTGATCCAGTCGTAGATCTCATTCGACCGTTGTGTCCGAATCGAATACATGAAGACGCGAACGAATTTCGATCATTCTTCTTCTTCGCCTTATTATTCCGTGCAATCTGTATGCAACTCCGTATCTTGTTTCTGCTACCGTGAAACCATTTTTAAACTACATAATATGACCGTTCCCAATTATTACGCCCGACCTATTCATTCCAGCTCAACTAACTTATTTCAGTTACATCAGTTTTCCTTCATCTATTTTTTCTATACGCTGGCCTCACTACAGCCTTATGAAAATGTTCTCTACGCTCTAAATGGTACCTTTTTGGCACAAAACACATCTGCATTGCCTTTTTCCGTCTCATCCAACTATACACTTTATTCCGCTCATCACATCTTCGATTAACTTCCATAATTGATACCGAATAATTTCGATTTGTCTGCTCTATTTACCACTTGCTCTCCAAACAAAACACAGTTCCTCTAACTCATTTTAAAACCTCGTCTTTACTAAATCGGACTTCGGAGTTAAACCGAGATGAACAAACCCCGGGATGTGTTCCACTCTTTAAGTACTGTGACGTATTCATCCATTGCGATGGCATGTACGGTATACATCGTATAGAAAAAAGGTCGAAGGGGTTTAATCGAACCTGTCAAACACATTCCATAACTTCCGGAATTCTCCTGGATTGAAATCCTCCAGAATTTTCGGTGGAATTTCTAGCGGTCGCTTTAGTTGATTGTCGTTTGTTCAGCAATGATCGTTGTGATTTATAACTCATAAAACATTGTTTGCGCAGACCACACGGGAATGCGGTGCCAGTCTAAGCTGGATGCCTTGTACGCCGTCAGTGGTGCTGACACGTCTGTTCATCACGTGGACGACAACGACGACGAAAAACCGAGGAAAGTGCGCCGGAGCAGAACAACGTTTACCACGTATCAGCTGCATCAATTGGAACGAGCTTTCGAGAAAACCCAGTACCCGGACGTGTTCACCAGAGAGGAATTAGCCTTGAGACTGGATCTCAGCGAAGCCAGAGTACAGGTGAGAATGCAAATACACAGCTCAGTTTTTCTATTTAATACAATCTCAGGCGTGGCCGGCAGCATATTGATTCAAACGACCGATTTCATGTGTGATTCCCGCCGTCAACAGAGGTACCCTTGCCATAGTTCACCATCCGCTCGTCTGTAAACTATAACACCTCTTTTGATGACGATGGGAATTCCGCGGCAACCCGATCGCCTTGTGTATAGCACCGCTTATCAGTAAATCTTAAAATCGACGCTGGTAGAATGAGAGTAGAATTATTTGAATTTTGATCTCCTGTAAAATGTCAGTAAACCGCGCACCCATATCCTTTCGATTCGCCTACCTCGAGTGATAAGGTTGTCGGTTAAACGAATTAAAACTCAAAGTACCAGCCCAGACTAGTCTGCCAATCGCCCCCAGGTTGCTGTGTAGTCGGCAACGTTAATCGGGATAATTATATCTTGAATTTCCGTTCGTCTTGTTGTATTCATAATATATATATTAACAGTTGGGCGCTCAACAGCTCTATACGAGAGACTTAAACGTAATTTCTAAAGCCGTTTAAAACAATGGATGCGGATTAATAGATTTTCATTCGAGTATAGCCGCACAAAAACACCGCGCGCTAATTGTGGAACACTTAGCGGTTAGCTGGCTGAGAGCTCGCACAAAGACCCCGGAGAATACCAAAAGAGCGAAAGAGAGGAATTTAAAAAAAAGAAAAGAAAAAAAAGAAGGCTACAAAATTTCTATCCTTTTAATTTTTGTACTCACTCTCTTTCTTTCTTTCTCTCTCTCTCTCTCTCTCTCTCGTTCATTAGACTTGTGCCCTAGACACTCCGGCTGCCGATTGTCTCGCGCTTTTTAAACGATTCAATAAACCAATTGAGATGGACTCGAAACCGGAGCGCACGAGCTGCTGCCGACGATAATGAATTACAAGTTAATTGGGGTGCAATTTCTCTCGACAACCGATTTAACATCTCTCTAATTTCCTAACGATCATTTAAGTGCATTGTTCGTGCGTACGAGGGGAGTCCCATTGTGTGTTTCCCAACACACACACACACACCCTCGGCGCGCACAATCAACCCCAATCGGTCGTCCAAATAGAGCATTAACCCTCCCCGCCACCCCGTCCACCCCCTCACACCCCTCTTGACTATTTGCCTCCGACCCCCTTGCCGGATAATGGTCTCCGGGTGCCGAAACTTCCACCGGTTATTAAACTCCCGTTTTGAGTGTATTGTCAATATTTTAACCTAGCCAATAAAAAAAGGATTTCCTCCGGCTGCCCTTCTTTTTTTCATTTTTTTTTTTTTCCAAGCACACGCGCCGCTAATCCAAACTAAATTAATTATTCGCCTAATACACGTACACGATAAACAATCTATATTAAGCGTCTTTGATGTTCGTCATAATCGATTAATCAAAAAAAAAAATCCTATTACAGTAATCCCGCCAACGTGATAATTAATTAAAATTGTTTACACGAAGACAATTCGTTAATGTGTGTCGTTTTAAATGCTTGCATTAGGTATGGTTCCAAAACCGTCGAGCCAAATGGAGAAAACGAGAGAAATCAATGGGAAGAGAAACCAATCCGCCGTACTTGCCAGAACACTCGAGTAAGATATTTTTAAAAAATATTAATCAATTGTTTTAAAAAGCGTCCTAATGTGGTGTCTATTGCTTTTTATCTAACGTCGGTGCTGATGTTTAAACAAGAAAAGAGTGCATGACATTGAAACATGAAATTTTACACTAACCATAAGCGATTTAATTTACTACAGAAATTAAACTTAATTTCATCTAATTTTTGGGATCTAGTATATTTATAGCCTACCTTTAAACATATTTCAATAAATTTAATTTAAAGACTAATTTAATGGCTAATCTAATGGGGTTGGAGGGTTGTACAACCAACCCCTTCCATGTATAAAATAAGCAACCATAACACAGACCTAAACTTGCGCAAACCTGTGTATTTTTTTTTTTCACAAAATAATAATAGTAAAAATACCTTGATTATCAGTAAATACCAATAACAGCAGTTAAGAAGTCCATAATACTAAGAGTAATACATCTGGAAAAAAATAAACGTAACACAATAGAACAATGTTTTTAACTAATAATTAATCATAACTAAAAAAAACACAGAAATTATTGCACAGACTCGTGTATTTTTTTTCAATCACACTTCACAATGGTATAAGTTACCATTTAGGTTTAAAAAGCTGATATTACTGTGGATAAAGTTAAAAATGTGAATATTGACTAATATTGTAAAACAACATAAACCTAAAAGTGTTACCATAAAAGTGTTTCTCCAAAATGAAAAACTATAAAATTGCAATTGTTTTAACAGAAAGTGTCTTATCCTTAATGAATCACTCTGTATACACACATTTCAGTTATAATCATTTTTGTGTAATTACAGTGTTCAGAGGCGAGTGTTTGCCGCAACCCGGACTGGCGGGTCCGTTGCCGTTCTTATCTCCAGAACAGTTTTGGCCGAACATAGTGTTCAACCCGGCGGCGGCGTCGGCATTTCTCCTGGGTTTGCCGTGGCACGCCCATCCTTACCAGTCGACCGTGCACAAGGCGCTTTCCCAGCGGATGGCCGTCGGCCAATGGTCCATCCAAACGTCGTCTCCCGAACCGCACAGCCCGTCGTCATCTTCGTCCAGTCCTGTTCCCCGGTCGCCGAGGGTCCCGGAACCGGTCGACATCGAATCTACCGGTGACGACGCGGCGGAACAGGACAGACGGCAATCGCCGCCCGTTCGACGGTCCTGTTCGCCACCAGTGGCCACAGTGTTCGCCGACAAAGAAGTCCCTTGTTAACTCGACGGCTGGTGTACGACTTACCACAATAACCAGTTATGTTATGTATTGTGTACAGAATTATTTGTCAAATAATTATATTATATTTATTGTTTTTTTTTTAATCAAAAATCCAGCCGATCATAATTATTTGTTGTGCACAAATTTATGTTTTGTAAAAAGGTACATAATACGTGTAAATAAATAGTTTTTATAAAAAAAAAATTAATGATTAGTTGTTGACAAAAACATTGCGAACAATCAGACAGATCACAGCCATGTATTGTAAAATTAAAATTAAAATAATTTAAAATCAAATGTAATCAATCATCAATGTAATAGGAATGTAGATAATAACTTACCTTACTAAATTACCTGGTGTAATTTCATTCAATGTCAATATTTATAATTTAAATTTATCATAATTCATAACCCTATATATAAGTGAATAATAATTTATAAAAAAAAATTATTGAAATTCTTAATCCTGTGTTTGAGAACTACTAAAAAATAAAGTTTAATATTACTTATAATAAAATTGTGACTTTTTTATGTATGTATAAATACCTACACTAAAATATATTAAACCGTTTTTATAAATAGCTTCTTTCATGGCCGTTCTTAACAGGTTGGCTTTACAATTAAGTTGTAATTATATAATTAACTTACAATTATCAATCTAGTAGATTTAGTATTGTTGAATTATGCATAATTTTTTTTTTAATGCCGTAGAGAATAGCCATTCATAATATTTTAAATGTTATTATATTCTCATATATCTAGTATAATAATTTATTAGCATTGACAATAAATTTTAACTTATGTAATATTGTGCCTATAACTTATTTATTTGTACAAATGTTTATTGTATGAATAAACAAAACAACAATTGACAACTGCTATTATTCATTTTTAATAAATCATAATGCAATGTTGCACAGATGACGTATAAGTGTACTTTTTTTGTAATATAAAAACGACGATTGAAAGTAGGTACACAATAATTATTATACTGCTATTTATATATTTTGTGTAATTAGGAAACAAAATATTTACCCTGGCAATGTTGTGTACAAGGTGAAGTAGGTATATTGATATAAAAACTATGTAAAATAACTAAATTATAAACAAAAAATACACATAGATCATACTAGTGCACTGTACCATCGCTAATGTCTTTTCCGAAGTACATTATCGTGTAGACGATTGTTTATAATAGTATACATTTTGTTTTAATTAGGGCAATTACAATATAAATGTTAATTTCGTAAAAAAATAATTGTTCTGTTTCGTGCGTATTTATATTATATTTTTGACCTATTATTGTTTATTATTCAAGTGATGAATCACTTGTAAAACCGAATAACAAAAATAATTAGGCAACGATAATGATTCAGTAAAATGCATTGCTATAAAGTAATTGCATTAATCGAAAAATTATTATCCTTACTACGTAGAATCATTTTGAAGGTAATAGTGTGCTTAAAATTATATTTTTAGTACAAGGGAGGACATATAGGGTTGTAGATAGGACATAGGGTAGTCTGTCCAGACTGTCTATAATAATTTGTACGGTAGGTAATTGACAATATAATGGAAATATTTTTCAGATACCAGTTGTATTAAAAATTACAAAAAGTTGTATAATTTAAAAAAATATAAAAAAAGTTTACACCTCATCTAGGAAAAGACATGCTCTTTTTATAGCTTATAGACGTTTATCGATAGGACTATGTCTGAAGAATATTCCATCAAAATATGGAACTATTTTTGAAGGAAAACTAGGGAACTTTTTAATTTTTGGCGCGATAAAGTATCTTTTAGGTATGATTTTTGTATCATAAATTTGCTGTATAAAGACCTGGGTTCAATTTCAATACATATTAAAATTATACACTCGGGAATTTGTTTACATCTGATTTACAACAAACAGATAGGAGTATAATACGTTAGTTTTTTTTACACACATTCATTCCCAAGCACATCACAGTAGACAGTATAATCCGCCAAGATTAAATTGTTATATTATTTAATATGATATGTTATGTTATGAGTAAACATGATTTACATATCACACATATACATATACACATACATACATCATTGTGCTCGGTTTTATCACATACTGCAGACCACAGTAAGCCGAATCGAATAACAGATTACATTTTTTATTATATTAATTGTGTTTTGACACTGTTCGTGTCACGTTAGTCAACAGTTTATTATTCTTTTAAAAAATAAAAATTATATCTTTAAAAATCATATCTTTAAGTGTGAAAACATTTCACTCGGTGAAAACTTTATATTGATTAATCAGTATAAATGTTATTAATTATCCATTTTCAATAATAATCTCTATTAACAGTAATAATCAAAATTATTATCGGGTCGTCAAGTGTTAAAAAAAATTATTTATTTTGACAGTTTAACAATCGGTTACACGAGGTTAGAAGTAAGAGAATAATATTGGTAAGTGTAAATTGTAAACTTATGTACTTGAGTTTTAAATTATTGTTAATTGTACATTTGACTGTTAGATATATCTTCTTGATAAATGTTCAAAACTTGAATAAATTCAGTAAATTGTATTAGACGGAATACCATCGTCTGAAACAACCAATAACTGCATAGATATTAAATTTTAATTTATTTAAAAAAAAAAAATTCACCAGTTCACCATAAATTATAGGCCATTAAAATAAATTATTATCTTACTTTCATACATTTTTATAAAATTAGAAATAAAAGATATCTTATTCTGCACTATTTAATTACAGTTTCTTAAATAATTAGTAAGACTTTAAAATTGCCAATTTGAAAACAATTTTATCATCATAAATTAATAATAGGTAAAATAAAAAAATACGTGTACTTTCTTAAGTATTTAAAATCAATGATTACATTCACCTACCCCGTCACCACTATTAAATGTTGGTAGCATAAAAAATAATTTATAAAAACTGTGTTCCAATCAGTTGTTAGTTATGAAAAGCAATTATTATTTGTTTAATTCATTAACTGTCATTTTAATTTTAAAAGTTAAACAAAGTTTAACGAACAAATAACCAAAGATTAAAAGTTTTATCACTCAAGAGAAGAATTTTAGAATCTTACAGTACAGCATGTCACGTGATATGAAATATTCAAACGACCTTGTGTGTAGTACAACGCAAACCTGTACTATCAGCAGGTAGCATGTAACCACACCCATCAGACAGCTGGCATACAACTTTTGTCTTCAGTTGTAAACAAATTAATGATAAGTGATAAGTAACAATAATTCGTACTTTTTATAATAAAACGGTTAAACGCGTTTTTGTTCGATACAAATTATATAATTACAAATATTTAATTAAAATTCACAAACTTCCAGCAGTCGACCGTACCAATTTGTCTGTGTATATCCGAGAAAAAAAATCTGAACGACAGTTAAGTCACGGTAAAATTTTTAGAACTTAATCAACTTCGGTTCCTAACTTACTACTCAACTCTTTGTTTATGTATATCATAAACAATATAACTAATTAAATAATATTGAACATTAATATTAATTTATTAAATATTTTGTTTATTAACTAATGATAACAAAAATTAAAACTTAGTTTTATACGGTATTAAACTTTTATACACGATTTTGGCCAACCTTGCAAAAATACAACTAAAAAAGTCAACTAATATTGAAGCAGTTGCGTTTAATTTGCGAATTTAAAGACATTTAATAATAGTGTAAAGGATAGAAAAATAGAACTTGGTGAGGTAGAACATTGTGAAAATTTAGTAATTAGTAAATAGTGTATTACGAAAATAGTGTCTTATTCTACATGAATAACCTGTAAATCCAATAACGAATAGTTGGTCATAATTGGACCTCCTAAACCTAGTTTTCTAGGCCATTGCCATTAGTCCAGAGAGAGGCATGTATCAACGATACCTAATATCGTTGATGTTTCGTTACGAATAAAGTATATCTAGTATCCTGTGTTTACATTGATGCGAGTAAAAAATAAAACAGTTATAAGTAATACAAACCGTGGTGTTTATAGCGCAAATGAGTATGAATTAATTTTTAAACAAAAATCTTAAAAACATTCACTAGAACAAAACTTATTTCATTTGTCAGGTCTTTGTGGGACACCCTGTATAGTCGGATATGCTAATGTCACGCTTGACGTTCAATTTGGAAAATCGCTCATTATGATGTGTGCTTTTATTGTCTATTAATCGTTTATTTTGACGGTTTAGGTTATCATGGCGACTAAATGGGGAATACTGAGTGCGTCTAAAATATCACACGACTTCGTTGTAGCACTGGCATTGTTGCCGTCCGAGGATCACAAAATTGTGGCAGTTGCCGCCAAAGACGAGGCCAGGGCAAAATTATTCGCCAACGAGCTAAAAATACCCAACCACCACGGCTCGTATGAAGCCCTTGCCAGCGACCCTAATGTCGGTAAGTAATGGAATGCAACGGACAGTCGCGAAAATAAGAAATGTTAAGAATAAAAACTGTTCTTTGTTGTTTTGGCGTTTCCAACAATGATCATCCCCGGTCCTGATAACTAATAAAAAACAAGACATTGTTTACATCGGCGCACTCAACCATCAGCACTATTCGCTTACGAAACTGATGCTCGCCAACGGCAAACACGTGTTGTGCGAAAAACCGTTTTGCATCAATACTAAACAATTGGCCGAGTTAATCGAGGCAAGTCTAAACCATTGTCTGCGCTTAACTAACGAGCGAGTGAAGTAATCAGTTTATTCAGATTATCACACAGTAATACTATTATGATTCATTTCAGCTGGCCAAGAGCAAAAGAATATTCCTGATGGAAGCCATGTGGAGTCGCTTCGGGCCCGCCTATGAAAAAGTCTTCGAGGAGATACAAAAGGGAACTTTAGGAAACGTCCTCAGCGTAAAAGCTAACTTTTGCGTCCCTATCGCCACTCAAGAACGTATTTGGTAACGTTGCTTAAACTAGAGCTAGCCATTATCTCTATAATGAATTAAGTTAGATATTAGCGTGGAATATGCTTTTGCAATAACCAATAATTAGCCGAAAAGCGTCACGAAATTAAAAAATTAGGTTGCTGTTAGGTTTGTTATAGGTTCGATTTGGATTAGATAGTCTCCCATTATTGAACTATTAATATCGAGGAAATCGATACACCTTATCTGATTCAAGGGAATGAGTTCACTAGATTATAAAATCTTAAATCCTAGACTGTGCACTATTAGTGACGAATGCAGAGAGTTTTTTGATCAAGCAGTTCCACAAGATTTGTCTTTGCTAACGTTTAACGTACAAAGTTTGAAAACGAACAAAAAAACATTTGGTCAGATATTACTCGCTAAAAAATCAACCTTATAACTTTGGCGGGGACAAGGTGGGTGGGAGTCCTCCGTTGGAATGCCCAAAGGCATTTTACAATATTACAACTGCTGACACGATAAATCTATTTATGTTGAAAACCGGTTAAGTTTAGGGTTTAGAGTTAGGATTTTCGAATTCTTAAAGTAATTTTGCATATTTAACAACCGATTCATTCTTCCCAAAATTCGGCTAGGCTATAAAAAAACATTTTACACTATATTGACCCCAATTTAGATGACTTGCAAGTCACGTGTATTCATTTTAATAGGGGTCGACTAGTTAAAAAATGTAATTTTATTGTTTAGGAAAAAAGAAGTAGGCGGTGGATCGGTGCTAGACCTTGGAGTGTATCTTCTCCATCTGGTTAATATGGTATATGGACCGGAAGAGCCAAAATCCATCGTCAGCGATGGCGTATTGAACGAGCATGGTGTAGACTTAGCATTTTCGGCAATACTAAAATATTCTGACGGCAGATTAGCAACGATATCGACAGATACAAGAATGGCACAAGATAATTCAGCTTACATCTATGGAGATAAAGGATCTATTAAGGTGACGGTTCTTGTACGACGTATGTCCATGCATAATGAGAAAAAATATATAAAGTGGATACCAATGACACATGCGATTTTAACAAATAGATTATATTTTATTCTTAACATATTCGTTGCCGTTTTGACAAATAGGAAAATTCGACAACAAATTAAAATATTTTTTGATACCTGTTAACTAATGATTCCTTCACACAAAGCAACCTGGAAATTTAATATAATCAAAGTATAGTGTTCTCTTTTCTTATAGTTGTAATTTTAAATTGAAAAATATGTAAGTTTCAAGGGGTTTTCTCGATTTTGAATGGGGAGGGGAGGACATTTTAAATATTTGCCCCAGTAAAGTACATTTTAGGTACGATTTCTAATCTATAGACTTGCCACATGAAGAAATCGGTTCAGCGGTTTAGGGGAAATCGTGGGTCCAGCAAAAAAAAAAAAACATAATAAAAACAATGCCTTCTCAGCTTCGAATTGAAGCTAAAATAGCATTACATTTTAAGTTCTAGACGAAACAATGTCGAAATTGGTTCGTTCCCCGAAAGCTGCTGCCATGACTATAAATATATTATTTTTATTTAACATTTAAATTTTAGATTCATCAACCGTTTCACGCTTCTAATAAAATAACCGTAAACAACAGTATCGATTACGTTTTTGAACAGCCAGAACCATGGAAACCTAATATTTATCCTAATAGTGTACAGCTCCGATACCAAGCAGAACACGCAAGGCAATGTTTGAAAAAAGGTAAATAATTTTTTTTTGTGTGTGTGCATACATGTAAAAATAACTGTAAGAAACGTTTATTTCCCCTTTTTTCGTTGATGTTCATTTAATAGGTCTTACCGAATCGTCTGTTCTCGATCTTAATACCAGTTATAGAGTACAAAAGCTTATGGACAAAATAAGAGAACAAATTGGCGTGCAATTCGATGAAGATAATTAGAAAACGCCCAACTTTCAGTACCATATTTTTGTTGAGTCATAAATAAATAAATCTCCCTATATTTTATTATGTATCCATACATTTAATACAAAATAGGTAAAAGTTGTTTAATAATTATTATTGTAAGGAACTATATTGAATTGTATTTGAAAAATATACTATCTTTATCAAGTAAATTAATTTATTGTTTATTTTACGGTTTACCTATGTCCGTTGAAATTTAAAATTAACAACTTGTGACTTTGAGTTAATTGAGAGGTTAACGTGTGTGGTGCAGTAAATATTACTTGATAATGGTCTCCGGGACAGCGCCTTGTGCAAACTTGTATGGTTTTTTCTTCCAAATCTTTAAAATGAACAAGTGAATTTTTCAACTTTAATCCTCTCAAAGTATCAACTAGATAAAACTTGTAATATCTGGAATTGCTACTCAAAATTATAGTGAACACAATAAAAAACTCGTATCATTGTAAAACCATTAGCATCGCTGCTCCGCATTGAAGCTAATTGCTAATAATAAGGACTACCTAAGTACGTCTGTATGTATTCTCAAAATAAGTATCCTTAAAGTCCAAAGAATATTTTCTCTTTATTCTTAGGACAACTCAAGTGTAGTTGAACAGAAGTAAAAATACATAAACATTATTTCTAATAGTACAAACAAAATTTGAAACATTAGTAAATTTTGTAACTTACTAATTTCTAATTATAACTATATTGACGTACGTGGGAGTACAATTTATTGATTTGGGTAAACAATATAACTAAAATATTTAATGGCTTTCATAAACATTTAAATTGGGTTAAAAATGATCATATAGTTAGAAATATATTCATTCAAAAATGTACAGAATTAGAAACAAAAAAAAAACAGTACAGTGGGGAACATTGTGTAGAATGAGTATACTGTGGTCTACAATATGTCTACAGAAATTATTATAACTGAAACGCTTCATTGCGAATCTATAGATGATAAAAATACAAATATTGACAAACCAGAGCTATGATACTAATGTGATTAACAATGTTTTTTTAGTACTAGAGTGGATATATCGAATAATGACGGTATACATTTTTAATTAATTGCTAAGAAACATGACTAAAATATTTAATTACTATTAGTTAAGTACGATTTCTATATATATTAGATTCGATGCGGAATTGAGAGGTGTACCCGCTGTAACTTTTTTTGTACTAAACCAATTTTTTTCGAGTAGCAATTTTATAAATCACAATTTTTTTGTTTAGTATCTTAGGGGGGTAAAAAATGTCCCCTTAAAATTGGGGAAAACGAAAAAAAAGCTATACAATTTTTAATTTTTTTCTTTTACTAGCTATAATTTTGAGAAAAATAGTCGAATCTAGTTGATTTTATAAGGAATAATATTATTTGGTACGCCCCTGTACGGTAATATCCTCAAATTGAAAATTATATCTATTTCCACCACCTGAACCGGGAGGTGGAAGTTTTTTTATGTTTGTAGTCGCGATTTATAGGACCTTTTAGTTGAAAATTAGTCAAATTATAACAACACTCATGTATTGTATATTAGTATCCATAACATAATATGCAACTAGGATTTTTCGGTACAGATTTTTTTTTAACTGCCTTCAAAGAATATCCATAAACCAATTATTAAATTTGAATTAGAAAAGTACTTCGATCTAACGAAAATGTAATGCACAAAATTGTCAATATTCGAATTTCTTATTTTTTTTTCTTACTATTACTTTTTATAATAAAAATTCGAAGGTAATAACAAATCATAAGTTGTCAATTTTATCAAATCAGATATACTATTTACATACGATTTGTGCACATATAATTAGTATTTTTAAAAATCTAAAAAACAAATAGTAAATTTTTAATTAAAAAACTTGCGAGAACGATTATAGACAATTAATACGTGTATTAAATATGGCTGTCGATGAGTAATAATATTCATAAAAAATAAAGCCAGTACAGTACAGTGGGGTCGGGACATGGTGGGACAGAGCTGACTGAATTCTGTAGTATCTCGTCCTTTGGTTTTTGTATAAAAAAAAGGTCACAAAGAAATTGGTATGGCTAATGGCGCTTTTTACCTTAAAAATGTAGTTTTGCTGTAGTAAAAATTTTACTGAAGACAATACGGATTTTGTGGCGCCATCTCGGGAAGTTTAACAACAATGTTTGAATGTATTTGTTTTTTATGCGAACAAAGAAAGCGTTAAGAGCGTCAAAGTTGGAATAATAAAACGTGCATTTTAGTATCGTAAAATATATTATATTATATAGCTATAAGTAAGTAACTCGTCTTCAACAGCAAAATAATCCTATCTTGAATACAATTCGATTACATTTGTATAATAGAACAATTATACAACCACAGTACAAACATATTAATAAACTCTTTGGATTATTCAATGTGTATTTGTATAGTATGCTCTTGGGATTCTCGAACAATAACAATATTATAATCAATTACTTAACTAATTAGTTATTAATGGAGCGTAATTGTATTATTCATATTTTATGATAACACGTTGCATTATCAGTGTTATACTGTTATGGCGCTGCATAAGTGATAACATTCCGTGCTGCAACGTATCCTAATTGATAACGGTATTAATCTGTTTACACCGCAATAGTTGTTATTGAAAATTTGCATTACATACCTACTACCAATAGTGTGATAACAATTTAGAAAACTATACAACATGATTTGCTTACGTTATTATAATAATATATAATCTTCAGTCGATAAACTTAACGTTGTCGGGTCGGGCCGAGCCGTATTATTAGCAAGTGGATCAATGTGATCGTTAAAAAAAAAAATTCACTTAAGTATTCAGTGCAAAAATGTATTTTCCAGTCGGCTGGCCAAAAATTTTGGCTCCGACCTATTCTGCCGGAACTCTAGTTCAAGTGATTTGCAACAGGGACAAAATACTCTTTGCCGTCCTGTCCAGCAAACGATTGGAAATTTGGTTTTGCAAAGTAAGTACAGACAGAATAAAAACCTCAAGTGTTGATTATTCGAGTTGTTGTCGAGCAGAAAATTAAATTATAGTGTTATTATTGTAGTTTGTTGTATGTTAATGAGGCCACATTTGTTATTATTAGTAAACAAATTAGCTACTATCAAATTTTGTTAGTTGAAAGGACTTATTTTTCAAAGAGTGGTATATAAAATTTGTCGATAAACCTTTATAAAAGCTACATCTATTATGTATTTTATTACTTTATTTTTTTGAACTGAAGATTTTATAGTTATAAATGAAATTGCTTTTTTAATCATAAATGAATAATCTTTGATTAGGTAAAAATATATTAGGTGTTTCATTAAATATTAACTGGGTAGGTAATAAAGTAAAAAATGCAAATGCTAATTAAATTATTATTTAATTATTTTTATAATTTATCTGTAGGTTTTATTAATAAGTTATTGAAGATGGTATATTATTAATTTAACACAACATATTGTATTATATTACAGCCATGTGTGAAGATTACATCATACACAAGATCTCCGCAAAGTTTAGAAGAAATTGGCTTCAATTTGCGAGTAGAATGGCGGCCAGATTCCAGTATGTTAGTTATTGTGGTCAGTATCATTACTATTATTATTTTTGAATTAACTACCTATATTCTTATAAATTATGATAATTTATGTTAAATTTTTTATATCTCTATAATTAGACTACAAAAGGTTATTTAGTATTTTACAACTTGAGTATTATCAGTGAACCTGGAGGCTTGTATAATTTGGAAGATTCACAAATTTCTAGCCTGAGAAGAGAAAACGACGAATTATTTGTCAAAGAGATTATACCGTCCTTACATATTCAACAAGTATAGTTATTATTCGTTATAATTAATAATATTATTATCGTTCATCATTAACTCTTCATTTACAAAATAGGAACAAGTTGCCTGTGTTGATGGAGGAGTTGGATGTATAGCTTGTATTCGTGACGAACTGATGGTAACCACGTGTAAAGGGCATGTTTTGCGATACCATTGGAACAGCTTGATCAATCGAGATTACTGTTTAGATCTGCGTAGGATACCGTTTTCTGTTGACTTACATGTATCTAATGGTAAGTGTTTTAAATCCCGGTTGATATTATCTACTAGCCATATCACACAATGTGTGAAATTTACCATACCTATTTTATGTATAATTATAGCCGCACCGATTACGACTAAAAATACGTACATTGTCGATATGGAATATTCACCTTTAGTTGGAGGATTCGGAATCATCTTGAACGATGGCAGGGCAGCACTACTGACAGCCTCTTCTTTAAAATTTGATCCCAATGTAAGTTGACGGCTTTTGTTTTCATACATTTTAAGTATAATTATTGATATTTGTGTGTACATTTGTTTTTTAAATAGCAAGTTCAAGGAATTTGGGCTCCACACATAGACACTGGAACGTGTACAAGTTTAAACCATAAATATAGATTGATCGCCTTTGGATTGAAAAAGTTAGTTAAATACACACTTAATAGTAGCGTATGTACAAAACGAAAACTGTATTTTCTTTCCGCGGACACACAATTTTCGTTATGAGTAAATGCAAACATAGAAAAGCAGATAGTGGGTACACACACCGTACAACCCTTACGAATACAACCCTGCACCTCGCTTATTTTAATTACAATAATCATGTACAATATTTTATCTTTTAGTTCTCAAGGCATAGTGTTTGCCCTCGACGAACGTACAGGAGGTCTCCAGTTATCACACCAGCTCGTGATTCCCAGCCAGGTATGGCCCGGCGGGGGACTGGGGCCTGTACGTTGTACTCGATGGACACCTGACGGCTGTGCCTTGGTAATGGCTTGGGAAAACAGTGGATTTGCTGTTTGGAGTACATTTGGTGCCCTCCTAGTTTGCTCTTTGGCATGGAACTTTAGTGTAAACGTCGATCTGAGTTCAAGAAATCCGCTAAACATTGTCTCCATGGATTGGTGTACTGAAGGCTATCAGTTGTGGATGATAAATAGAGCGTCTAAAGACAATCATGAAGATTCTGTTTTACAGTTGTCGTTTTTAAAAAGTGCTTTGGCTGTTAATCCAACAATGGTATAGTTTCCATATTGTAATGTAATTGTTTTATAAATATCCGAAAAAATTGTTAAAATCAAAATTACAGAGCCACCGTCCACATTTGTACCTTCAAGGAGAAGACAAGCTATATCTTAATCTAACGTCTGGCTTAACAAAAGTGTATAAAATGACTCAGGCCAATAACAAGTCGAAAGACCAGGTGACTGTGACGAGCGCTTTAGTTGAAAATAAGCAATGGATCATTATCTACGCACCTTCTCCGTACATGGGAACTAATTGGCCAATAAGAGTAAATATGTCGTTCTTGCTAAGTAAATTGTATGTTCATTATTTTTTTACGTTTATAGACGTCATGCATAGACGATGACGGTAAACATATAGCAATAGCTGGACGGTGTGGTCTTGCACATTATTCATTGATAACACATCGTTGGAAGCTATTCGGTAGTGAAATACAAGAAAAAGACATGATCGTAACCGGCGGAGTGTTATGGTGGCGTTGCTATATAGTTTGTGGATGCTATAGTGTCCCCGAGGATGAACACCAGGTGCGAGTCTACAATGGAGATTCTAGACTGTCCAACGACAATATGATTGCCTATCGATTGACCGGTCAAGCTTTATTGCTCGATTGTTTAGGAAATCGATTAGCAGTGTTTTGCTCAGACGGAATTGTTAATTTATTCAATATTGAACTATCTCCTAATCATAATATGGGTTAGTGCACTTATTTGTGTGTATGTGTGTAGTTATGCATTTTACGTAGGTAATTTTGATTAGTATATTTATGTTTAAAATTTCAGCTATATTGGACAGAGTACAAACAATAGATATGTCTGCTTTGTGCATTCATCCCACTTGCGTTGTGTCGGTAGTACTTACTACTTTACGAATTGAACCTAGGGTTAAAGGCTCAACTTTTAGAGATAACTTTATCTTAAATATTAATGGCCATTTGTTGTTAGTTAATCAGCAAAGTTGTGACGATCAAGTATGTTTCTCAAATATAAATAACTATTTTTAATTAAACTAAATAAGCGATGACTGTTTGTCACCAATTATACTAAAAGTTTAAAGATTTTTATTACAAATGACCATAAGACTTGATGTTAACCTAATTGTTATCAAACATTTTTTTTAGACACAAGTGATTCCATCTCCTATTTTGTTGGCGTCATGTGTGGAAAATGCATGGGTGTCGAATCAGTATCGACGTGAAAAACCTCATCTCACCGAAGCCCTTTGGCTGTTTTGCGGTGCTCACGGCATGCGAGTTTGGCTGCCATTGTTTCCTAAAAATGGAGATAAATCTCATACATTTATGTCAAAAAGAATTATGTTACCGTTTCAACTGACAATATATCCTTTGGGTAAAAAAAATAATAAACTAATTTACTATTGATTAATGATTTTTATTGTTATTATTTTCTAACAATTACACTCCACGTAAAGATTGAAATTAAATTATTTACTTTATTCAGTATAATAAATTTCTCATTATTTTAGTTTTGCACTTTTTACTATAAATTATAATCTGAATAGTAAATATATTACGGACGCTTTAAGAAGGTACTTTGTCGAGTCGGCAGCGACCAGTTTCCACCCCGCAAAATCGTCATAGTTCGGCACCGCCTAATGTGCGTACAGATACAACCTAGGCGGTGACTAACGAGTTTTGGTCCACGACGCAAGTACCTTCTTAAAGTGTCGAGAGTATATATTTTCAACAGTTATAATGTTTTCTTATCATATCAGTTATGATAAGAAAACATAAAGTGACAAAACATTATTTGTGTTATTATAGAAAACTTTTTATTTTATTTAATATGTACATTTTTTTAATTGACTGATATTTTAAAGCTTTAATAATTTATTTTATTATATTGTAATTTTTTTTTCAGCGATACTTTTCGAGGACGCTATATTATTAGGAGCTGAAAACGATACACTACTTTATACGTCCGATACGTCGTCAGTATTTTCTTTGCCTTTTTGTCAAGTCGAACGAACAGTAAGTGAAATGTTTAGAGCAAAGAAACATATTGTATAAATTATTATTATACAATTTTAACCTAACCTTACAATTTGTTTAAATTTCAGAGCCAAGTATATTTACATCAAATTCTAAGACAATTAATACGAAGAAATTTAGGTTTTCACGCTTGGGAGGTTGCAAGATGCTGTACAAATTTACCATATTTTTCTCACTCTTTAGAATTGTTATTACACGAAGTATGTAAAATTAGAATAATTTTGCTTAAACGAAACTAATTTAATATAGTAAAATAATTATTCTTTTTATTCAAGGTATTGGAAGAAGAAGCTCTTAGTAAAGAACCTATACCAGATGCTCAGTTGCCTAGTGTCATAGAGTTTATACAAGAATTTCCAAATCTTTATCTAGAAACTGTAGTGCAATGTGCTCGCAAAACCGAAATAGCTCTTTGGCCTTATTTATTTTCTGCCGCCGGCAAACCCAAAGATTTATTTCAAGAATGTATGAAAAGGCAAAATTTAAATACCGCAGCCTCGTACCTGATAATACTTCAAGTAAATTTATTAATTGTTTAGTAAAACATATGTTATTTTATCATCAATTGATGTATGGTGGTTTCAATTTTTTAGAATTTGGAATCATCGTCAGTCAGTTGCAAGTATGCTACACTACTGTTGGATTCTGCGTTAGACAATTGTCAGTGGGATTTGTCCAAGGATCTTGTTCGATTTTTAAAAGCAATAGGTAAGGGAATAGCTGTTATATTTTTTCTTCGAAGCATAGTAGTTTATAAAATTACTAAATATTAAACTTTTTTAGTATTGTCCAGAGCTCTATTAACTTTTGTAACTTATATAGTAATGTATGTATTGAATTAACTTTTTGAATAACTATAATAATTTTCCAAAAAAAAATTATTCAAAACTGGTTAACCAGTGAACTTTTTTAACAAATGAGTCTTTTTTTTTTTTTTTAATGTATTAAAGTGTTAAATTTGAAAAGTTTACAGAGCACTAGAAAATACTAAAACAAGGTAAATATATAGCAATTTTATGATGTTGTAAAATGTTATAAGCAAAAAAAACGTATTAAAACTACTTAATTGCAATTATTTTTAAAAAAAAGGAATGTTTTGTGTTAAGTGGTTCACCTTGTAGCGTGACTTAATTTTACTTTAGAGCAACGAAAAAAGGCAAATTGTATACAAATAAAAAGACTTAAAACTCAAAATCACTCTCCTAATTGATTTTTTATTTTTCTAAATTTTTTTATAAGCGTTTTCATTTTTACTTTTGTAGTTTTTCTAATATATCTGTGTCTTTACCCACTTTGTCTTTGATCTACTTTAAGACTAAATCCTTCTACACTAATTAGTAATCATCCATCTTTGCCATTTCACTATTATGCTATTTCAGTGTTTACCCATAATTATATCTAAAGCATTTTTAAAAAACAAAGTTATAATTTTTTATTTTTAGATCCAAATGATGCAGATTCGCCTAGAACATCATGTATTTTTCCAGCTAAGTATAGCATGATGGGACAAGGAAGCACTGTAAATCCAAATGAAGAAGACTTGTCATTTTTAATGGGAAATATTCAGGTATACACAAAAGTAATATCAATAGTAGGTCGCTTTAAATGTATAATAAATATACATATATGTATATACTGTGTAAAAAAATGTTTGAAGGAGAAATTCCTAAAATTCTAAGGTCTTAGCTTAACTCTTAAGTACTTCCTGTTAAATTTTTTTTTTTTGCATTTGCTTTAGGGTATTGGAAAGCGATTTTTATCAAGGGGCAAAGGATAGTGAATATTTCACAAAAATCGATCAAGTAGCCATTTTAAATGGGTGAAAAAATATTATGTTTTTCTAGTTATAAAACTTTTAATTGATAAAAAATTACTTTAGTAGAAGTCAGTCTTTGGCATATCTATTGGACCGATTAAAATTTTTTTTTTTTAAGCTTACAATTTTTTCTTTAAAAGCTAAGGCCTGTTATTGATTTACCTAATAGAAAATTCTAAGTAAAAAAATTGTTCATCTATAACTTAGGATCACCCTAATATTATTTTTAGACTCAGAATAGACTTTAAATTCTATTGGTTGTGTATATATTTGCTGTATTTTATAATGAAGACAATAGCTTAATCGTCAATTGTTATATTTTAGGTAAGAGGACGAAGTATTAGTACCAGCACTACACCGAAATTAGATATGAATTCTACTTTTGTCAAAACTGAGCCAAACGCTTCGCAAAGGAAAAAGTCTGTACTGTCCAATGGGAAATCAGAAAATGGGTATGGTATAAATTATTGTATAAAATGTTTTTAAGCAAAATCCTGTTAACATACTATTTGTATGAATATCTTTGGTATATCTGAATGTAATTAGGAAGGACAACTTGGCAGTAACTTACAATTCCATTAGCGAGGAATTTTTTACCGATACAATTCTTCAAAAACACGCAGCCAAATTGTTAATGAATTACAAATTACGAGCACTCGGATACTTTGCGGCTCGTTTAGACTTCCATTTAGTAGAATGGTTAGCAAAAGAGCGTAACGGTGCGGCTCGAGTCGAAAATTACGTTGTGGCATTACGGAGTCTTTATACTGACTTCTCAATTAACAATTCACCCGTTCCTCTGCAAAAACGTTCAACGCCGCCTTCTGGTGGCGTTTTTAACGTCGATAAACCAAAATGGATAGACGGCGGCAGTGCGGTTGGTGATAGCGGTTACACGAGTTGCCAAGATTTACCACATATGTCACCACAATATCCGATTGACGGGTTTTTAACTGGTATAGGTTAGTGAAATATTGTTTTAGTATAAAATTGATCGATTGAAAAGTATTTTTTTTTTTTATTAAATAATTTAATTATTTTTTATAGACGAAGCCAGTACTGTAAGTGAATCTGAAGAGGCGTTGTTGTGGAATGAAGAGAGAACACAAACCAATGTCGACAATTGGAATGTTATGCCCAATGCTCACATTTTAGAACAACTGTCGAACGAACATTCACCGCAAGACACTTCGAAATCTGAAGTTCAACTTAGGTTATTTGATGAAACCTGTTTTTCTTTGTATATGTGTATAATATTTGTGTATTTTTTACAGATACTTATTACAATTATTAATTGAAGCCGGATGCTTAGAATGGGGTTTTGTGGTATCGGTGTACCTTCGAGATATTTTGGCAGTTCAAAGGCTTGTATCCGTTTCTCGATCGCCTGAATATGGCTACGAATCTGTATCGCGGTTAAAACAAGCATTTATCATCTTATATCAATGGAGTTGCAATGAATGGTAATTTTGTCCCACAAAATAATTATGTCGGCTTAAAATTTTATTTTATTTTTGGTAGTTAAGATTAAATAATGTAAAAGTATGTGTTTAGACAGAACGTATTCAAAAATGCATTCTTTTTCACTGAACAAACTCTTGAACATGATCGCAATCTCATAGAGAAATAATAACTCGCATTTTTTTTTTTAATGTTTTTATAACATTTAAAAAATGTATTGACAAACAATGTAAAAATAGGCCTTCACCCCTTCAGAACATTGATTGCTGTAATTTTTTAAATGTTGACTAGTGTAAATTATAATACGATTATTTCAAAACTATTAAAAAATATTTAATGATAAACAGTAATTGTTTCATTTTTTATTTTAGTTTCGGCTACCGGCCTTTCATGTCTACGTGTCAAGCACAGTTAGGTGCGTTAAATCGCATCATAACTTCAAAACAGCCAGCTCCCACTGTTACGTCGCAGGCGTCTTCGTCTTCGCTATCCAGTGTACTTACTCAAGCGTCTAGATCGAGGTCAACAAGCGAAGGTACTGGAGGCAGTCATTCCACAGTCGATATTAATGACCACATGCAACCATCTGAAGGGCATCATCCGACTAGTTCATTAGACTTGAGCTGTGACGAAACTCAATCTAATGCAAACGATCTTGATTCGGTGTCAGTTGTCAGCTTACCGTCGCCAAACAGTTGTGTATTGTCATAACATCAAAGTACTTTGTTGAAGTGTTTAAGATTGGCATTTTAGAAGCTTTATTATTTGAGGACATTTTTTTTTGTCGAAGATGAATAACTCGTAATTAGTTTTTTATTGTTCTAAATCGTGTTCCATACTAGGAGATGACAATTGCATTACTACATGCTGAGATAATACGTCTATTTATTTTACAGTTGAATATAAAACTAACTTAACTTTTGAATGGCATTGAAACATTTGTAATAACGACAAATGACAACGTGTTTTAATAATAAAATGTTGTGCTGTTTACAATATCGTGCAATCGTTATAGCTAATAATTGTTGGTTTATTTAGCTAAATGTCTAGCCTAGACTAAGTATCAAAACCAATTGTATGTGATATTTTGTATTTTTGTTTATTATCGTTTACCCGTTTGTTATATTTTAAATGTTAATCAAAAAAGGCGCGTGTTTTAAAATGGGCACACAAATATCACTTGTCCTCTTTTCGTTTTTATTTTTTTTTTTTAATATTAATTTAAACAAATATGTGTAATTTTACTGTCAGCACAGTACATGTACGAATTCAAAAACTATATACTTTAAACATTAAAATCGATTTTGTTATTTTTTATTTGGCTTTGATGAGGAGTTTTCTACTATTACTAGCATGTGCCATTTTTAAAAAAAAAATTTTACTGCGAGTTTCAATTAACAAAGGTTCCGATTTTAAAGTAAACAAATACAAATAAATCAGAAATATTAATTGTATAGAACACGGTACAATAATATAAAACGATAATGTTTTAAAAACATAATGTAAATATAAGAAAAAATATATAATATGTACTTTAGAAACGTACGTTTAATAAAATTAACGAAACAATACAAATTTAAGCTCATGTAGGCTGTGTTATTTATAATATATTTGCTTATACAAAGTGATTTTTATATATTTCTTAGGATAAATTTTATTTCCAAAAACTGATAATCAAATATTTGTGTTATGTGTCATTACTCATACGAGATGCTCAAAATATTATTTCTTGGTTGTCACAATGATATCATGCCTGTTACGTTATTATTTAGATAATTGTTTTGTTTTTTTTTTTTATTGATTTATATTTAGCAGTTGTTATAATATTGTAATTTATGTTTTTAAGTTATTAGTTTTTTCTACGAATTCACTAGTGTTGCCTATTCGAAACCTAATTATACCTACGGGTCAGAGGTTAAATGTTTTACTCAATTTTATATTTGATTATTATTATTATATAACTACTATTTAGTATGGTTTCGCGATAAACTTTATAGTTTTTAAACAAAGATATGTGTAAGAAACCTAAGATATAGTTTACGTCAAACAATCATTTTTATTAAGTGTACATATATTTTGTATTACTATTTTGTATTTATCGTATTATAAATATTGGACGAGATAGTCGACTCGGATTTTTTGATTGACTAATGTTTTTCTTAGAATGATTTCCTACGGATCGCATTGACCGAGTTTCCTTAGAGTACGGCTAGCTCCGAACGTTTGTACTTAATCGCTACAGGAGCGATGCCGAACAACGGTTGGTTGGTTCACGTTGGAACCCAGTTTATGTTTAAGAAATCAAAACTATGAACTATTAAAACGAATAAAAATGACCTTATTAACTAATTTCTACTTGGTATCTAAAAATCAGAACATTAAGTACACTTATAAACAGATATTGTCTTTTATTTAATATATTCCGTTGACGATCTTTAATTGGTTTTGTTAATTATTGCAATAAAGGTTATCTATATTTAATGACATTAACGAAAAACACAAGTATTAAGTATAATTGTATTTTGTCATAATAAACTACTTATCTTGAAAAAAACAATTACAAAGGTCAAACTTTATTGATAACGACTAATCGCGTTTTAAAAACAGCTATTCAAACATTTCTTTGTGACAACTCATACAACTCCTCCAGGAAAAAAAAGAGGGGATCGAGGAGATTAATTTCTCAAAACCTAAAACTTGGTATCGACAAAGGCGGGAGTTATTAATGATTTATAATTTTTTATACCTTCGATAAGACCGAAGACACAATATTTTTTTTTTGTTATTTGGCTGAATAGTCAAGTCTGTACTTTGGGAAAGCTGTTACCTGTATATATAAAAAAAATAGGTATGCGTGTAACAGTCGAATGTGTTTTTTCTTCATAATTTAGTTAACGGTAAATCAACACCAACTTAGATTAAACATACTATATTTTAATCTATGACGCCAGTTAATTAGGTATAGATATTATGTTAACTGCGTCGTTGGAATAAATTATTTTTGTAAAGCCTGTTTATGCGACGGCCGACGATTTTATTTTTAATCTACCAATTATTGACCACGGCATGACAAACAAAAATACTAGTACTCTGTACTATGTACAAAAATTACATAATTAAATATAATAATTCTGAAATCAGAATTCAGAAGGGAAAAAAATAAGTTTTTTTTTCTTTTACAAGTTTTTAAAATACACTATAGAAAAATATTCAAACGTACAAAACACTCGCAAAGACCACAAAACGGTATTTTTTCATTTACAACTTAGTAGGGGGGATTTAAAATATAACAAGACTTGCTTGGGAAAGTTGAAGACCAAATTTGGAGTCAACGAAAAAAATCCCAAAAAAAGTATCAAATTTTGCTGTAAATAAAAACATTACTATATTCTGAAATGTTTTCTGGGGGGGGACGGGGACTCGGAAGACATTTTTTTGTGAGGGGGTTGGGCCATCCAACTTTTATACGACAATAGCTACTGCTAATTGCTAAAACGTGAACGAATCAGACAATTCGGTATTCACAATACCAAATGGACAATGGAAAATGTTGGATGTGATGAAACTGGTAAAACAATAGTGCGGAAATGGTCGAAATTCAAATTCGAAATGGAACAGCTCTATCTGTCGTTTGAACCTCGAACTAGAAAATCAAGTGTATAATATTTTGTCGACAAAAACCGCGACCTTTGTATAAACCGAAAATCGTCTTGGATGTTGTACGCGCAGTAGCCGGCAAAACTTGCGTGGGCCGGTGGGCCGTGGGCCGCAGGGATGTATGTTTCAAAAGCCGGTGGGCAAACGCCAAGAACGGGGAGGGGGAGGCACGCCGGCGGCTGGACCGCTGAGCGACTCGATGGGAGCGCAGCCGTCGTCATGGAGGAGAAAACGGCGGCGCGATTATCTCCTCCACGGCCGGTATGTACCTCTCTGTCGCACTACCGGCCGGCCGCGTCATTCCGTCTCATTCTGGCCTGAGACAAGCGCACCAACACACGCGCACTTACGCACACACACACACACACACATACAGCGCGCGCGCGCACGAGCACTGTATGTTTTTATTTTATTATTTACATTTTGTGTACAAAAATAATGTTAGTCTGATACTAAGGTTAAATACATTGATCGTGATTTGTGTGTAGTTTTATAAATGTGTATCGTATTTTGGTAAGTACGGGTCGATTTTCACGGCGAACCGATGTCGTGGCACCGCTGGCCGACACGGGGCACGACGACCGCGGCCGGACGGCCGTGTTGGCCAGCCGGAAGGCGAGATTCCGTTGATTTCGCCGTCCAAAAAAACAACCGTCGGAATGGCGTCGTTCCGCACACGGTCCCCACCACATGTTTTGCCGCACCGTTCTGTCGCGTATTGCATTGTTTGGCAAACGGCAACCAAAAATTCCCGTCTACCGCGCAAACCACCCGATTCCCGCGCCAAATTCCCGTTCTCATGTCCCCCCCGTGCCTAAACGGCGGTCTTCCGTCTGCATGCATACTATAATACCTATTCGTGTATTTACCGTCTGTTCGTTCAGTAAATGTCGAAGTATCATTATTTTCTAGTTTTTCGTTCCCGGTCGTCGTGCCCCCTGACTCTTTGAACGGTCTTATTGTTCGCTAAACCATTACCCCGCTATGTTCCCTTCAATCGGTGTTGCATGCGTAGCCTTCGCGTCGATATCACAATTGTTGTCGCTTGTCGCATGTCTCTTCAATCGATACTAGTGTCTTGGTCGATGCCCTAAGGATTTGTGTTTCGGTTTTTGTGATTTCAGATTGCCCTGTAAATACCGTTGTACATAGGGAATAGGTGAGAGACCTGCAAAAAGATATATATATAATTATATATAGATATACATAAGATGAGCGGCGTTAAAGGGGTTGTAAATCGCAGCGCCAAGACGTCCGGCAAGAACAACAGCACAAACACGGCCACACAAAATGCCGATTCAAAGGATGTGGTGCCAAACAAAGTGCATGAAAAAGAAAAGTTACAGGTAATAATAACAATATGATAATTAAGTATAATTGATAATAATACAAGATGTTGAAAACAAACAAATATATTCATGTGATACTCGTATGAACGTACAAATATTATTTTCAATATTTAATTATCCGTATGAATTTATATGTGATATTCAATGTGGGATTTAAGTTATAAGAATTAATTGTTTTTGATTAGTTTTTTTATAGTAGATTGATTTATCTGCTTAGATAATACCTATCGTTAAACCCTTTGTGATAAATTACTATCGTGTATTAAGTTGTACTAGGTACCTAATCATTTTAGCAAGAATAATCATTAGGTTTTGACTACATAATTGTATAGTCTCGATATTTAGTCTCTTAGGTAGTATATCAATCTACTAAATTGAAAGGATACCATTTTTTTTCTATATATTTTTTATAGTTAGAAATAAAATTGTTAAAAAAACTTTACCACACAAATGAACATAAAATATGAATTTTTTTATAATCTTACTGTCTAGGGTTTTGTTAACAAGTTGATGTTAAATAAAGTTAAATTCGGATATTTGTAAACCTTTCATTTAATTTTGTGTGCTATTATTGGTTTTATTTTTCAATTTCAAAGAAATCAGTTGTTTATAATTTTGAATGATGTATATAGATTTTATGAACATGAATGGTCTCTTTAAAATTTTGTTTTCCGAGTATTTATTTTCAACTAACTGCGCTGCATATGTGTTTACATATTTTATCTAACACTATACTTTGGTACATAACATTTTATTTTATATTTTTGGCTTAATTAGTAGTTAGGTAGGTATAATCTGTTATACTTAATACATTAACACATAGATTAATATCCTAAGATTTTATGTATGGACGTACCTTTTATTTGGAATGTAAAATCTTCATATTTTATCTAGATTTTTAGTTCTGATACTTAATTTTTATTATTGTTTAATGTCGAATAAACTAAACTATGATTAGTAGGCACTAGCATAGTATCCATAAGGCATTACTCTCATCTGCTGTTGTGCAGACAGGTGTGACGCGTTCTAGACATAGTCTTAAACACTCTGATAATATTGATACTATTTCTTGTTGTCTAAGTAGTGGCAATCAATAATTTATAGAATTTATAGAAATATAGAGCTGTTGTGGTATTTGAATTTGAATCGCCGCGAAAGTAACTAAATTTTTTTTTATAACATTTTAAATTGACGATACCAAAAGTTGACGTTTGATACTTTTGAACCTTAACCAGTGTTTTTACACCTGTTTTTATAGTGGCAGCAGTATGGTATAAATACATTTTTGACTCTCACCAGTTTCTGAAGTTTTTTTATTAAAATCAATGTTTTCAAGTACGGAACAAACTATGACATGTAATTAAAAGCATCTCAAAAAAAATATGACTATACTTCTTTATTATAAATAATAGTCACATTAGGTACGTGAACAATTTTGTTTGGCATAATTGGTCTATGGTTAGCAAATTATAATACAATCAATTGTTTGTAGAGATTTTTGTAGGTATTGAATGAAAATATATAATTCATTTGTTTGTGTAATTGTTATTACAAGAGACTTGAATTTCTGACTAGATGAATAATTTATAATGAAATAGTTTCATCTCAATAGATATAACAGCGTGTTTTATGTTAATTTTAAAGTGTACATTTTTAATAAGGTTTGAATAATTGAAAAAATAGAATAATTACCAAAATATTCTTGTTTTTGTATTTTCAGCCAACAGCAGAACAGCTCAGGATTGCTAAAATCATTGATCCAAAAGCAGACGATGAAATTAAAGCTAAAGTCAAACAGGTTACCAATATAATAATAATTAATAATATAATTAATATAATTAATTCATTTTTTGTAATTGCTAAATTTTTTTTAAATCAATAGGTGATGCAAATAACACAGAAAAGCGAAGATGAAATTGTTATTGCGCTTCACGATAATAGTCTTGATGTAGCTTTAACTATAGATGCTCTTTTGGAAGGACCACAAGTAATATAATTTTTTTTTTTTTAATATATCTTTTTAAACATTTTGCTCATTTTAATTGCTTCGTATAATCAATAAGGAATCATGGTCGACAACTGGTAAAAAGAAGAAAAACCGAGCTAATAGTGTGAATAAAAAAGATAAAGAAGAATTGAAGAATGGTGAAGTCGACGGAGGTAAATATATGAATTCACAAACAAAATGTTTCTTTATAAATTGCGTGTCTATAAATATTCAATTAGATGACTGGAGAGAAGAGACTCCGGGCGTTACACCGGCGACTACTAGTACTGCCCAGAACAATGGTGGCTTCAGTGAGAGACGTGGCCGTGGTCGTGGTGGCAGAGGAGGCTACAATGCAAGACCCAGGCCAGGCGACGGTCAGAAATTCGGAGAGGCGCGTAAATGTAAGTTTTAAATATATTATTATTTTTCTATTAACCAATTTACTTGGCAAATACAATATAATTCATTTTTTTTATAATTGTGTATAGGGCGAGACCGCGAGAACAAAGAGAATGAAAAAAATTTAACAGAAGATGGTGCTACGGGTGAAAATCGTAACTTCCGTTCAGATAGCCGGGGTTCCAGAAGAGGTGTGAACGGTTCTCGTTACAGCGGTCGTTCTAGAGGTACTCGGATGTTCCAGAATAGCGAGCGCGGTAGTTCTGGGCCTAGTGCTGGGAGTAATAGTGGGTTTAGTCAGCCTATTGACACTTGGTTTAATCCTACAGCCAAAGAGTCTAAAAAAGGTATGTGTAACTTTAGGTTTATTATCTAAATAATAAAAATTTAGTAGAATCTAGACTAATTTATTATACGTATATATATATATATATATATATATAAGATACCAATTAAGTATTTGAATAAGACGTTAGACTGAAGTCTGTCGTTAGCTAGTGCTAAAGATAGCAACATTGTTGTTCAAATACATATACGTTATCTACAAGTGACTTAAAATTTATAACTCGCTTCAGATCCGCTTAATTTATAAAAATGATAACACTTATAAATTCAATATATATTTCATTAGAAAACTGGGGAGATACCTTTCCTTCGCCCGAAGACTGGGACAACGAAGAGTATACTGGTTCGTTGGCTGACACTAAAGTGTTCACACCTAGTAGTGGTACTGAAACTGTTGTTAACCATGAATCTGAACCATCCAAACCTAATGAAGAGTCCTATGAAGAAGTAGAAGACTGGAACGATGCTGTTCAAGCTACTGGTCAACAGAGCGCAGTTCAAAAAGTATAAAATAAAACTTAATTTTTTCTCTTAAGCATTTTGTTATTGTTTTTTTTATTTATTAAATTAATTTTTTTTTTCTTGTTAGACCACTAGTCCTGACAAACGGTCAGGCCCTAGCAAAACACTTACGCCTGAACAATCTCAGTATTTAACGTCGTTGACTCAAGAAAGTCAGTTAAAAAAGGTTACCATTCAGCCAGCAACCGCCACGTTCAATTCTCATCCTCCAGGTATAATCAATATATTGTAATATAATATAAATTAACATTTTTAATGTTCACAATTTGACCATTTACTATTTAGTGGAGTTTGTTTCCTCGCCATTTGATGAAAACTCAATAGGTCCAGGAAAGAAACCTACACTGCGAGCCCGCATCCCACCACCTTCGAAAATACCGTTAAGCGCTGTGGAAATGCCACCAGACGATTCGAGCGCTAATATTAACTTCTTAGATGTTTCGTTCGGTGCTGTAGAAATATCTGGTGATTCACACATTAACGACTCCTCGGTCGGTCAGGATCAAAATTCTATGCCTGTTAAATATGACGATTCAGTTGCTCAGAAAGTCGATACAGTATTAGGGCAAACGGATCAGTATTCTACCATTTCGAATCAAGTCGGAAACCAAACCCAACGACCCACCCAAGTCAATCAGGTGCCGCAGCCATCGACTAAAATTGGACCTCCTCCCGGCGTCCCTCCTCCAGCAGCTGATTATCTGTCAAAACAAAATGCTGCCGCCAATGTTTACCAACAAGTCAATTCTGTCAACTCTGGACAGCCAGCGTCCATTTACAATTCAGTCTACTCGAATAATCCACAAGTATGCTTTTACTTTTTTTTCAGAACTTGAGTTCTGTATCATTTATTATTGGATTTTTTTTATTCAGGGTATTACCAGTCATTCGAGTCTATACGGCACAACAACGTCAAATATAAATAGCACTAATCCCCACATTCCTCAGTTGTCTCAATCCAACCATTCAATTTTGAATGCCAACTATCCACAAACGGCGGCACAACCTCCATTTCCATCATACTCTTACCCGAATCCTGCACACTCTTACCAAGCATCGGGAATGTCGTACCCACCCATTGTCTCGGCAGCGAACTTAGCATCGATGTACACACCATCGACTTATTCTAACTACATACATCAAAACTTGCATCAGACGGGTAACACAAACAATTTATCCAAATCTACAGCTACATTGACTTCAACCACTAATTCTACCGCTAAAGACAGCTTGGTAAGTCAGATCAGTTTTCGTTTTTTTGTTTCAATTCTATTGTCTACATTGCATATCCATTAAAATCTAGTACGAATCTCAAACGTCAAGTAACTCTCTCACGTCTAGCGCTAGTAACAATTCAACCGGGAACAATATTAGTGGCACGGCATCGAGTATTGGACTCACGCAGAGTACATTGTTGACTTCTAAAACAACTACTCCAACAAGTAAATAATATATTGTTACAAATAAATAAAAATTAACAATTTCCCTGTTAACAGCATGTAGTATTTCATTCGCAACTGTTAGTAAATAATTTTATATCGGCCCATAATTTTTTTTAGCTAATAAAAGCGGTGTTTTATCAGGCATGCCTCCGGGCGTCGCGCCATTGGTCGGCGCTCAATACATATTGAGCCAGCAGGGTATACCGGGATACTACCATCAATCCCATCCTGTCATGTACAGCGATGAACACTTACAAATGGTACAGTCAAGACTACCTCATCATATGGTACGAAAAAAAATATAAATATATTTTCATAATAAAATTGTTGACTGTTTCTCTATTGCCGCTTTTTTTTTAAATTCCAGACTACTAATTTCTACTCGCCTGATCCGATGTACCCGACTGTGTCGTCGAGCCTGACTGGTAGAGAAAATGCCGGTGCCAGTATTTCAAACGTGGCTGGTTACTCGTCGCTAACGGACTCTAGGTTTACGCGCACAGACAACAATGCTTCGCCGGTTCCATCAACGCTTTCGCAACAGGTCATTATATTATTATATATTTTATACTAAATAGTTATAATAATTATATGTATAACATTATGAAATAAGTGCAAACGTTATTTAATTATTTCAGTCTGGAACATTGGCTCACCAGCAAACGTTGTTAAATCCTCCTATTACACCCAGTTACACTTATTACTATGGACAGTCTGTGATACCTGCAAATCCTTTCCAGTACGGTACCATGTATCCGGTAAGTTATTGATCCCGTAAATTATATATTATATTGTTTTTACTTTAATGGATACGTTGAATTTTAATCTATTTTTTTTTTTTTGTACAATTTTCTTCCTTAAATACTTTTCAATATTTTACACGTTGACTAATAATAATTAACCCTGATCCAATAATACTCACACAAGTCAGTTGAAGAGTTTTGGCGAATTAGAAATACGTAGTGAAAAAAAAATGTACTATAAATATCTAATTATGATTTGACGTTGAATATCTGTATAAACGCTGTATTAAATTGATTTCAAAGTCATTTATGACGATATTCCGTAAATGGTGCAAAGGTCCAACAGAAACGGCAAATAAAATTTATAAAACTTGAGAATATTATTCATTTTTTTATTGCAGTTTTTTAATAAAAAAATAATACTACAGTACACAATTTTTTGTCTTTTGCAATAAATTAATATAAAAAAAAAAAGGATTAATTGCTTAGCTTTCATTTATGTGATTTTCGGGCAGACGATTATTTTATAATAACAATTTTTTTAATACTTAAGTTTTTCAAACAAAATCATTCGCATCCAGGAATTTTCTTAATCATATGAGATGATATTTAGTATAAAATGATTTAAACGAAGATATTTTGTCTAATAACACATTTTGTTAACATCTAAATTCGTTTTATGGGAAATAAAAATAAGAATTAACATTTTCAAACAGAATAATTATTGTTAGTTTTTAACTGCATTATGACTGTATTTTATCTTGTGTACTTTCCCAATATTTCAAAAATTAATTAAGAATTTATTTTGCTTTCAATGTTGATTTAAAAATTTGAATCATAATTATTTTATTATCAAAAATATTATTACTAAAAAAAAATTGGAGTTTTGTATTTCTTTGAATTAGTTTGTGTTTTGAGTAGTAATTAATGTTTGTATTCCGTTAAATTTCCTTGCCAATCTTTTTTGTTCTCTTTTTTTAATCATTTAAAAGAAAAAAAATGTTTTTCTATGACTAATCGTTAAACAATAATGACTGACTCACAAAAATAATAAATAACAAATATTTTAGATACATCATTAACTGGGTATGCGTTTATTATTAACATAATATTTTTAAGATCCAAAACTAAGAAGAAAAAAAAGATGTAAATAAGGGTGTGTATTTTCAATTACCATAATAACTTAATTACGACTTCAGTTCAAGCATATTTCTGTATGATTTTTTCTTTTTTTTCTTTTTTTGTTAGATCTATTGCTACACAGCGGACGAACAAAATACTTGATGAATTTTTTTTTTATCATCCAAACACCTTATTATCCAGTTATAATTATTGTGACATCCTTTCCCTTAGTTAGTTAGTTTTAGTTGTAAAATTTAAACTCGATAAAAGCTCATTTAGATTTTAGGGGGAAGCTATTATCAATCTCTCCCCCTTTTTTTTCATAAAATAATATGTGTTTATGCGTTTAACGTGCATTAAGTTTTTTTTCTGGGGAAAAAAAATAACATCACAGTAAAAACAAATAAAAGTGAAATGAAAAATTTTATAAAATCTTTTACGAATGTATTGTTGTTAAATAATCAATAAACAATAAAATGAAAAAATCACGTCGACGCGGTTCGTTATCAGATGGCGCCAGCAGCTAATGCGAACAATCACGGCACCGGAGCTACAAACACCATGTCTGGATATAATAAAACGGCCGCGGCGCCAGCTGCCTACAATAATGTTTACGAGACTCTGGGTTCATCGTCGGTGACCGGCGGTTCAAGTACAGACTACGGAAGTTCGAGCAAAGTTGGTGTGTCCGGACAACAATCGTCGTCCCAGGCCCAGGGCAAAAATAACTCATCTGATCTCGCCGCCATGTATTCCAGCAAGTCGACATTAAACAAAGTCAACGTAAATGATCATATTAGAAAGCATTTTTTTTTTTACTATTATTTTGAACGCGTTTTATTTTTATTAATTTTTTTTAGCCCTACGACAAACAACAGCAGTCGTTTCAGTCGCCTCCACCATTTTCTGTGAATTTGAACAACGGCGGCGTTGGCGGTCACCATAGCGGCGGTAATTACGCTCCAGTATTCATTTCACCATTGCCTCCCGGCAATCCTCAGCCACATCATATTGCGCCGCTCCATCATCAGGTTTGAACTCTATTAGTATATTATTGCTATTTACTCTTTGCTAATTGCTTTTTTTTTTATTTACTTTGACTTATGACAGATCGATATGAGGGTTCAGAACAGGCAAGGGGTAAGTTTTCTAATTTTAATATATTTTGCCGTCCATTAAATTCTACTATTAATCATGACCAATTTTGCCGATGGCTGTTTTCAGCAAGAATTAAGCAACGGTACGGCGAGCAGTATGAGCCGAAATCAGTCCGTGAACCAGACGGGCGCCAACAAGGTGAACGTTAAGCAACCTTACGGCCAAGGCACGACTCCCTACTGGAGCACCAATTGACTTGGTTCACGAGTCATCCGAAATACATTCTGACGACATTAGTCGTCTACGAACATAATCCTTAAAAGTTCTATCGAGAGAATGATGAACGTCAGATAGAGGTTTCATTTCTCCATTTAAAATCCTTAATTCCTTCGTTCACTCAATAGTATCACAATATTGTCATTATTTTTCCTGAATAATGTTTTTATCTTTTTTGTCCATTTCGTTTGGGTGTAATAATTTATTTTTTTAATTAAATATCTTATCCTTTATTATTATTATTATTATTTTTTTTTTTTTTTGTAATATTGTTTATTTTATATACAACACGATAACTGTATTATATGCTCCCCTCCCCACCTAAAGTAATTTTTTTTTACAATTTTTTATGTTAAATTAAACAAAAATGTGTAACAATATTATATGGGAAAAAATGATAAGTTTATTATTTACATCTTTATATATCTTCTTTCAAATGTAACCCATGGGCGAATAAATATCTGTCTATATGTAGTTAGTACCTTCAATAAAAAAAATGTGTATTAAAAAAAAGTTACTTTTTATCAATTTTTTTAATCTTATTAAGAGGGCGTCGCACCACCCATTTATAAGGAGTAAAGTATAGGCTATTTTTTACAAAATCTTAATTAAAAGGTTAAAGTGTGATGTGTAATTATTAGTTCAATAACTAGGACTCTATTTTGGTTGTAAATTTATTTTTTGGACCATCACAGCATCCTTGAAAGCGATTTAAAAATATTTTTTCATCTCTACATGTTTAAACAGACCGAAAATAACTCTCTTAATTTTGGTTTTAGAGTAAAAGCACCCATTATACAATTAAAAGAGAACAATATTCTGGAGGGCAAGACGGAGCGTTTTTTTCATTATTCCAAGTATAACGCTCAATACATAGTTTAGAAATAACGACTATTTTAACATTTTTAAATGACTACTTTTTAAAAAATGAATTTTTTTTTTTTTTAAACACCGTTTGCCCTCCAAAATATTGTTCTCTTTTAATTTTATAATGGGTGCTTTTACTCTAAAACCAAAATTAAACGAGTTATTTTCAGTTGGCGTAAACATGTTTTTACCACTGAAAATCACCGGTGCGACGCCCTCTTAAGAATTATTATCAGACCTAAATGAACCGACGACAGCTAAAAATCCAACTGACCATAAATCATAATTGCTCTTTATATAATGCTGTACAATAAAATGCATGTGTCAAAGTATAAATGAGTCGCCTAGTTTCAAAACCAGCTGTACAATTTTTGAAAACTTTCACAAAACAACAAATAATTTCTTTAGATAGAACCAACCAAGATTTTCAAACAAACAGTTTGAATTAGTTATTTTCTTTATTTGATATTCAACAACAGTTTCACATAACATATAATACATTGTGGTCACTTAAAAAACAAACACGTCAAAATGTCTTGGAGCTGGTTTTGAAACTAGATGCCTCAAATAGTAGGTAATTAAGTACTAACTTAATGTGGGTAGGTAACTATAATAATTGGAGGGAAAGGGTTAAATTCGATAATGGACTGGCTATAATGAACTCATTATGGTATTTTAGTGTTACAGAAAAAAACTTGGACAAAGTAGGTTTGATAATGTTTTTGAAACCGAATAATTTTTGGTAAAAGGTGAAACCATTCATCAACCATGTGATACAATTTGTGTTTTATTTTTATACTACCTACATAGCAAATTGCCTTAACGAAAATAAAACTATCAAAAAAAAAAAATGTTAGAACTTAGAATAATAAATATTTTACTGTGCTTAGTTTATATATACTATGCTCTGGAAAATGCTTTAAAAAAAATTATTATTTAGTAATTTTATAATAATGTAAAATAACATTATTTATGATGTTTTCAAAAAGAAAAACTACAAAATTGCAATTAGTATCAAAGAAAACGTGTGTCTCACGTTAAATTGATCACCCTATGTATAAGTCTAAAAGTTAACGCCTTCCTCTTAATTATTTAGAAAACATCCGAAAAATGTACCAACTCATTTTTCAATTAAAAATGTAGGTATAAAACGCTATATATATATTTAATAGCTGAATTAGTTCGAAACTAGAATCCAAAAACTAAAAAATGTAATTTCTTCACCCAGAAGAGGTTTAAACTGAAGGGTTGCATTTTGATTTCTTAAGGGTAGTTTTAAGACTTGAAGTTCGAATATCAGAATAACGGTTGATATGTCGTTTGTCTTCATACAGGGTGATCAATTTAACTAAGACACTCATATTCTCGAAAAATCATTTTAATTTTGTAATTTTTTTTTCTTTTTATAATAGCCTTTATTGGGAAATATGATGGCTAATTTTGTAGTTTTTCTTTTATTTTGAAAACTATTTATATTTCCTATTTTAAAGTATTTTAAAATTACCAATTATTTACCTTTTTTCAGTATTTTCCAGGGATCTATCGACTTTTCAAACTTCAATCATAAATATTTAATTAACTTTTTGAACCGAGAATAATTTTACTAAAAATGTTGTCTGGTCGAGCTTTGGATCTTCTTTCGTTTCTAAACTTTAAAATTATCCATCCAAAGCTGATGTCTGGCTGTCGACCAGTTAAAATTTTTCAGCAAATTATTGTTTATTTAAAAATTTTACTAAACATATACTCACGTTATCGTTTAAGTTTTAAAAGTTAATAGAGCTCTGGAACAAAATAAAAAAGCTAAGAATATGAATATATTGTCCAACATTGTTAAATAATAATATGAACTAGGATCTCCAAAATAAAAAAAACTATAAAATTGACATTATTTTAATAGAAAACGATAACTTTAAAAATATTAAATTATTATTTAAAAAAAAAATTTGATCTAAAGGTTATTTCTAAGGAAAACCCACGGGGAAAACTAATGCTATTCTAAGTTCATGTGAAGCCTATAGGCCAACGCAGTACGCTAAAAGGACCCCCATCGTTAAATCTAACAGCCCACGTTTAATAAACCTATTATGATGGTTCTTCTCATCTTAAGCTCCTGATACGACTTTCAGTCTATCTTAACAGACCAATACTGTGTTATTTACTACCTATACATAAAGATCAATGTATGTCAATAACATTGCATATTTTGTTTTTAAATAAATTGCATTATTATTATTTTACAATCGTCGTACACTTTTTTTGTGTACCCATGCATGTATTTATGTATTTTGTGCTGTTCGGTATATTATGTTACACACGTTCTTCCATTAAATATTGTTGTTTTTAAATAATTGTTGTGGCGACATGTGGCAAATTATTTAGGGCTTTAGGTACAAAGTAAAATTTAAAATAATGCAAAACCGAGTAACCATCTACATAAAACAGTATTATTATTCGTTCAACAGCTGTTTTTGAAATGCTAATTTATTGTTAAATTTTTCATTGTGTGAGCTAACTTTACTATGTATGTAAGTTATACATAATAATATATGTGTTGCCAGTTGCAACATGCAGGCAACTAGGAAATTTTCATTTTGCTTTATACAATTTTAATGTTGAAATGGGACATATATATTTCATATTATATATTTATATGTATAACATTCAAATTAAAGCAGTAGTTAATAGTAGGTGATTAAAAATGAGTTAGGTTCAATAATTACAAATTGCTATAACGACAGTCACCAAGTAAATACAAAACCCAGAACAACACATTCCGGAGTAAGACAGGTCATGATTGAAAACATTATGAAATAAAACTATAACAATTAGCCACAAATTATAGCAGGTGTAATGCGATAACGATTAGACAGATAATTATTACATATTGACTTATTTGTAAATATACCCTTAAATATAATATGTACATACTTAATAACGTGAGAATGGTAATTAGTTATGTTTAAGCGCATTTCTAGGATCTTTTCGCGGGCATAGAGAATAATAAGGACAGAATAATCTCTAATATTACAATTGTTTTTTATCAACACATTTAAAATAATATTTTAGTGATTGAAAAATATTTATAACCGATATGTTAGCGTGAAAGAAAAAAGTTGAGTATAAAATTTATTACAATTTTTAAAGTATTTAATTTAATTTATTTTTAGTATTAAAAATTAATCGCCCCCGGGTGGGCTTGAACCACCAACCTTTCGGTTAACAGCCGAACGCGCTAGCCAATTGCGCCACGGAGGCTATTGAACATTAAATAATTATTACAGGTAGATAAATTTATTATAATATCATATTTTATAAATTATTATGAATACACGTTCTGCTTACCTAATGTAAATTGCTATTTGTCGATTGTAATGTAATGAGTAATAACACTACAATACTACAATGTCCGTCTGTCTAAAGTATTACCTATTATAATAAGTTCTAGCTTAGATTCGGAGCTTAAAAATAAATTTGAGAAATGCCTAAGTCACAGAATCTACAAAATTTTACAGGACAAAGAAAAGACTTCTTCCGCCAACACGAGGAGGGCCTAAGCGATTTGAAAACACATAATTTCTTTTAGTAGGTACCATAAATCGAAGTAGTTTAAATGATAGAAAATGTTTTAATTTTTTTTCATTAGTATAAAAAATTCGAATTTGAATTGGCTGCACTTTCTCAGAGAGTGTTTCTTTAAGGAATTTTATTGTTGTAGAAACACCATAAGACGGGATTAATAGCGTTTCTCTTGTAAACGGTAAATCCAAATCACTGTTTAGAACGAAAAAAACTCGGTGACAACAGGTGTTTCTCCATAAAATGTGTGTCTACACTTGTAGACACGAAAACAATAAAAAACGATTTTGGCTAAATCAGCTAATGAAAGTATTGATTTAAAAATTTGTGATTTCCATTATTAATAATTCAAAATGACACATTTTAAAACAATAAAAAAAACACGGATAGGTATATAACCTTTTGCATAATTGTCAAAACAGAACCTAAAATACAACTCTAAAATTTAGAAATCAGAATTCATAAATCCGGATTCTCAATAAATTAACATATTTCTCTTGTTTACTCTTGAAAATGTTTAATATTAATATTCCATGGCTAAGTACTAAAGTGTCTTACTAGAAAAAATGTATGACTAATTACTAATTAGGTATCAATTAAGATTTTTTTTTTTTTTGCAAAAATGTTTAATATGTTCAATAACAACTTTTATTAGATTATATAACTGTATACTTACATTGTACGTGTAAAGTTTTTATATGACTAAGAATTGTTCGTGCAATTCTTATGCTGTACACCCGGTTTTACTAAGAATACACGTCAATCGTTATATTTTTTAGAAAAACGCCAGTCGAGC